GTGCAACTTTGTTTTGTTATTAAGTTGCGAAAGGAGACGGACTTGAATTTGAATCGTGTCGTTTTCTATAGAGTAAATAGGCTTAGGATTTGATGCGAACAGAATTGTCGGTTACTGCTCAAAGAAAACATAAAACATTGAATTTCATATGCTGCTCAAAAACGTAGTAGAAATGTCTACGATATGAACGTTCTATTCTTCTTCTCTTTCGTAGAATGCGCGGGCTGTTCATTCGTTACTTTGTTTTATCAACTATTCATATTCACAAGTGCATATTGCTACGAAACCCGATCGGGATCTGGGAGAACGGATTAAGTGCTCCAACAGGCAGACAAGCATCGATAGAAACCAATGGATTGAGTAATTTTTGGCATAGAAAGGTTGGGGAACGGTGCACTTTACTTCAGTGCTAGTAACGTTCCCTGATATTCTCTTATTGAACAATCCCGGTGCAATGAATTTACGAATATTAAGCTCGTTTTCCGAATCATTTGCGTCAGTTGCTATAACAATAGCGTCTACTAGTGATTTGTTTGGTTGGCGAAAATCATAAATAATATCATATTACAAATAAAGTTACCTCTCCATTAAATATTCAGGGTTTAGGTCAATATTATCTATAGCACAACGTAAGGCCTCTATTTTTCATCACTTGTCACGATCCAGAACGATTCGAAGCAAATATCATGCTTCCGACAAATATCTTTCCTCTGGCAGAGATGCCCATCCCCATCATCAAATCACAGCCTCATGACCGTTAATTAACACCTTCTCTTGGAATATAGTCAGAACTTATTCAATTTCTAAATTCTAGCGATAAAATCGGTCAAGTATATATATAAAGGTATAGGATCTCCTGCACGCGTACAAGTTCTGTTATAAGAAAATAGGCAGACAGACTGACAAAGTTAAATTGCCTTCAAATTATAAGATTTTCAAAACCATATAAAAACAAAATAATCCCAATCAGTTTTCTACGAACTTCATAAGTGAAATATCGAAAATAGCAGACGGCTTTCTTGCAGTGTTGAATATATAATAAAAAAAAAAAAAACGAATTCTCTATTACCACTTGTGCACTTTTACACAATTATAATAAATTTTCGTAATAAAAAAAAAAAAAAAATGTATTTCCAAGACACATACGGTGGAGAAAAGTAATCAACGAGATAATTAAGTCACTCTTCACTTAATGAACTTTTCAGGGAGGGTAACAACATAAACTAAAAGATAGATAGATATAAACTTAGAAATTCTTTAATAAAAAAAAATTCTAGATGAGTATGTCGTTGAATATGAGAATCATCAGAAACGCAATTGAATTTTTTTCTCGCATCTTTTTTCTCTCACGCTTCATTTTTATCGCATCTAATAATTGCCAAGCATTGAAGAAATTACTTACGGCCGATTCAATCTCAGCATTTTTAAAAATCAAAAATCATAGTGCATCATCATAAGTTAAAAGATATGAAAAACAAAGAGTCGAACAAAGTAGAAAGTCTGCTAGTGCACGGACTAATGCATTTCCATATTGCAGACATCATCTCTACTAATATACGCATTTAATATAAAACAAATTGAAATTGAGATAAAATCGCTGTTTTAAGTTTCAAATTTGTTTTAATCATTTTATGCAAAACCAAGAGTGCTCCGATGTAAACTAAGAACCGTGTATGTACTTGTGTGTGTTTGTTTGTTTGTTTGTTTGTGTATGTGAGTTTGAACGTTTTTATGGAAAAACACAAACATGAGAAATAATAAATTAAATGTTAACAACTGGTCTTTTTACACTCGTTGTTGGTGCCGTCTCTATGTTTGTGTTTTGTTTTTATAACTCATTCATGCGTTTTCTATAATGTATATTCAGTTTTAATAATGAAATCTCAAAAGTCGGTAAATACCGAACCAAGTCAGTAAATGCAATCAACCAAGTCAACCAGTCAACCAAGCCAGCCAGCCAGCCGTCCAGCCAACAAGTCTGTCAGTTAGTAAGCCAGCATGAATTCCAATGGGTCCTTTCAACGCATTCATTTATGAATATCATACCATTCCCTCTCTAAGCTAGCTGGCCAATGCATTAATAGCTGGTCTGCAAATACATCTGGAATCCAAGACCGTTGCATTGTTACCTACATTCACACATACATATATGCACTATTCATAGACTTTACTGTTTATGCATAAGGCACATTTCATGACCATGGGAATACACAGCGGCATACAACTAAAAGCGGATCCTGAAACTGAAAATGTCAAATTTTGTAATTTATTACTCGAATCCTGTTTTCTGTTAGTGACTTTCGTTATTATATACGCATATATATATATATATATATATATATAAGTGCTTGCGTATGCGTGCATTTGTGTGCATATGTTCGTGTTTGCGTTTGCGTGAGTGTTTGTATTCTTGCAGATTTGGGCAGGGTTGTTTTTTTTTTATATTCCTTTTTTTATATCTTTAAATGTATATATACACATATATATATATATATGCATGCAAGCGCATACTGCTGTATATCTGTATCCTTGACTGTATGCACATACAAACTCCTAAACGTATTGATGAAAAAACTCAATTTTCATCCTTTTTATTACGCACACGCATACACCGATATACATTTAAGTATAGTGATAAAGAACTACTTATATGCGATGAGATGAATTTTATAATAGATTAAAAATTGTCAAAATTGACTTTATTATCGGTTAAGTGCATAGTAGAATGCTTATACGCACATTATTGAAACGCGTAAACGTCCAATGATAACAATATACATATATAAAATATATGAAAAGTATTTCGATAGAAGAGATTCAATTTGGAAAAAAATCAGAAATCTCTTCTTCAATAATCAATGAACATAACAACGGTGTGCTTTCAAGGATATACTTATACCTTAACGACAATACGTTACTAGTAATAATAGAATTTTTTATATTATTACGTTCAATTTTCCAACCAATAGAGAAATATATAAACGATTGTTTGTAATATACTGAAGAATGAAAAGTCCCGGGACTTGTCACAAGTTTATGAAAAGGATGCACAAAAATTTACTAGACCTACCATGATAACCAGAAAAGTGAACGGTATCGATCTATGTAGTATATCAAGTCAAAGTCCCCGGGATTTGTTATTACTTGATCAGAATATGAGGTTTAGAACTTAGGCTTATCCTGATAATTCGATTTTCTGCATTATGCATACATAGAATACAAAGTACAGACAAACATCAACTGCTTCTATCCACAAGGATCATGGATCAAATATGATTTCTTTTAACAAGTAAGATGTTTATTTGCACAGGTCCCGGAACTTGCTACTAATTTATATCAATTCAAATTTCGGCCGCATCAACAATAACTCGCGCACTCATTTACATTTGTGGATATCGAGTATTGAAAGTTCGCCTATGAAATCTCCGAGCGTAAAATTGAAATTAAAATCGAGCGAAGTTTGCGAAAAATTTAATCAATGAATCATAAGCTCTTCTGGTCAGTCTTTTTAATATAAAGCAAACTTTAGAAATAAGGAGCGAACTCTTAGCGAACGTTCATTAGTGAGGTATTTTGCACAGTGTGCTTTTAGGCATAATTTGCCCGATTTATCAGAGAAGTACGTCGTAATCAGGGAAATGTTATCACAGATTGCAAGTTACTAGGCACCATGAGCAACCGATAAATTGGGGGATCTCCACCAAATATGACAGATACTATTGGAATCTTTTCATTAGTGCACTGCCTTCTCCTGTAGCGCGAAACCTTTGAAGCAGACAGTGACGACAATGACACTTTGTGTATGAAAAGGATTGCCTTGAAAATACTTACGCAGGTACTTATCCCTCGTAAAGAGCAAAATTTCCTCTTCCGACTTCCAGAAGAAGTGTGCATCTGTAATACGGTGCCTGTTCACTTTACTTTCCCCCAATCTTGGTTTAGAACGTAAAAGCCATGACGCTATTTGCACAGAACTTCTAATTCTGCTTTTCTCAACATGACGCAGATTGGCTCAAGCCAAAGCTATTGCTTCTGCTCTTCACAAGAATTTCAATCCCAAAATTCGATTACTTTGCAAGGCAAAATGGAAGCATATCGTGTTTTAGTGTTTAAATAAATGATTTTGTGAAATTGAAGCATTAAAAAATTTAAAGCAGATTTTATATAATATAATATATATATATATATATAATTTTATCTCAATTTGAAAGTCAATAAAATCCTTATAAATCTATAGACGTTGATGGGAAAAGTTTCTTTGAAGTATGGAGAATTTGCTATCTCCTTATTGCTTACACATGTTATAGTTAGTCTAAAAAATATTAAGTCTTGCAAAAAAGATGTTATTAGTTTCATCGCTAACACCAATGTAAACGAATACGATATGACTGAATGGAATAAATTTGTTAACCTCTAACTGCTGAAGGCTAAATGCCTTCTTAACTACCTATCATTATTGTTTCCGATAATTCGTTTGCTTGTTGAAGAAAAGTAATCGAATTATTTGATTCCTAGAAACGTGTTCGAAAATTCGTGTTGGTTCGTGTTCGAACAAAACGTGTGTTGTTACACTTCCAAAAGTCTAGATAGCAATAATTCTTCGTAACTAATAAATCAAATTCTTTACATTCGTATACGTGTGCACGAACATACGTATATTCGAGTCATTGGCTTACTTACTTACTATGTGTTTGTCCCTTGATGGATTTTTACGAAAAAAAGAAAATACAGTACAGAGTAAGGTAAAACATTCTCATATAATATAATAAGTCAGTTTTTACGGTCTTTAGTTTTAAAACGAACGGTATAACGAACGTATATAAAGTATCCTACTCTCTTTTAGTATGTTCTTCGAAAGGTTTTTTTAAAACTTTTTATACAGTTTTCTTTATCATTATTTTGTCATCGTTTCAATGCTAGCGCAGAGAAGAATTCTTTTTATAATATCAACAAAAAATGTAATCAAAACAAATCCAAAGAGAAAATTATTATTATTATTATTATTATCAATGCAATGCAGTGCAACAACAATAACAATAACAAAAAGAACAACTTAAACAAAGAAGGATTGATTTAAAGCGCATATAAGGAAAGTGAATGTATGACCGATAAAAGCTTATAGATCATATATAGTGAAACTAAGCGCACATAAAGGAAAAAGAAAACAAAAAAAAAGAAAAAAAAAAAGGGGGGAAAAAATCGAAAAAAGAAAGCAGTAAAATACTAAAGAGTGTGAAAAGGGAAGAGATGAGAGTAACGTTAACTGTATACATGCATACATACATACATATACATATATGATATAATTAATCATAACCGCAAGCAAAATAAACGAACAACTGCTTGAAGAGATTATCATTTCGTGGGCTTAACTGTGTGAGTTCAAAGTCAATCTTCAGTCTGGCATTATAAGTGCTCGAGTGTATACAACAGTTGAACGGTGACAGTTCAAGTAGACGATATATTCAAAAAAAATACTAATTTTTTTTTTTTTTTTTTCGATTAAAAAGTTGAACGCAGTGGTTCATATACAAAACAACAACAACAGCAAACAAAAAGAAAAATGCAATTAATATATAATTTAAAGCTTCTGTTTATTATATTGTGGGCGCATCTGATACAAAACGCATTGACCGCTATTACAAGCTCGTCGCCCGCTATTAGTGGTATTACTAAAGATATTGTCGCCAACATTGGCGAGGATATCGAATTCAATTGTACCGTTCAAAATGTCGGCCGTCTTTCTGTGAGCTGGGCAAAACGTACCCCGAAATCGGGTTCCGGTTCGGTGGTTCTATCAATGCGTAGCATACTTAGCTTAAGTGATCCTCGCTACACAATTGTCGAGACTAAGGATAATAAGACTGATAGTGCCGTTTACACGTTTAAGATAACGAAAATCGAAACTTCCGATACGGGATCATATGAATGTCAAGTTATTCTTGCTGCCACCGAGAAAATCACGAAAACCCTAAACTTGGCCGTTAAACATCCAGCAATTATATCCCAAGAACGTACTCCCAAAAGTATGGTGGTAACTGAGGGAGAGAGTTTAGAAATCACTTGCTATGCCGACGGTTTCCCCCAACCTACTTTATCGTGGGAACGGGCACACAATGCCATAATGCCTGCGGGTGGTCAGATGCACTTGGGAGCCATTTTGCGGATCAAAGAAGTGCATCGTTTAGATCGTGGAGCTTATTATTGCATTGCCACGAACGGAGTTGGTCAACCGGATCGTCGTCTCATACGCGTCGAAGTGGAATTTCGTCCTCAGATTGCCATACAAAGACCTAAAATCGCTCAAATGCTTTCCCACGCCGCGGAATTAGAGTGCACCGTACAAGCGTATCCGGCACCCGCAGTGTTTTGGTATCGCAATGGCGCCAAATTGCAAACTGACTCGCAGCATGAAATTTCGAATACCGCATCATCGCATGAAACCACCACTTCGGTGCTGCGCATAGCCAGTATTAGCGAATCGGATTTTGGTGATTATTATTGCAATGCTACAAATAAATTGGGGCACGCTGATGCTAGACTTCATCTTTTTCAACCCGTCATACCGGTTCCATCGATATTTTAAATAAGGTTTTTTTTTTTTCCTTTTGCACATCCATCGACATTTTTGCATTTTTTTTTTTTTTTTAAGAATTTCAAGCACTTAACGCATTCCTTCCACACCAATAATTTCATTTCATTTTCCTTCTCTCGCAGCATAACCATCATCACCGCAATGCTTCTTGAGCACAAAAAAAAAAAAAAAAAAACAAATGAAAGACTTCAAAAGACATAAAAAAGTTTTTTTTTTTTATATTTTCGGCAAATTTAATTTACTTGTTAGTGCATTAATTGAATTAAATATATACGTGTATACGAATGTGTGTTAATAAGAAATATACGCATAAGAAAAATATTTCCTTTTTGTATATAATTTTTTGTATTAATTTTTATGACATTGAACAAATGTTGCTTTAAAAGATCTGCGCTCTTTCTGCCTCTCCCTTTCTCTTTTTCTGTCTATCTCTCTCTCTCTCTCTCTCTCTCTCTCTACATGTGACACATCAATAAAAAAGAATAAAAAGAACAGATATTTTTGAGCAAACTTAATTTCGTCTGTGCTGTACCTTTGAAGAAAGTTTTGGCATAAGATGAAGCTGTCCACGCCTAGAACTGTTCTTTAGTGTAGAGAGAATGCGGCTGTATCTAGCAGTAATTGTTACGTTAATTTTATCCCTCAAGTTCATCCACAACATTTTAGGTTAATTTTTAGCAGTGATATGCTATAAGATGTACCCAACTGCTACAACCTGCCTATCTGCGCGTTTAACTACAGGGATATGAAAGAACGGACAAGAGAACGGAATCTAATTCATAACAATTGTACAAGGCCTTGGCAGAAATCGTTAAGGTTAAATATGGTATGAGTAGTCACCACAAATCAAGGGCCTTAATGTCATTAACATCAGTTGCGTATGGTCCTGCTTGCAACTCAAAGACATGGCTATAAAATTTTCCAAAACACAGATAAATTTGCGATGTACTTGGTATGAAGAATCAAAAGCTCACTGTTTGTTTCTGCTGATGCAAAGCCTCATTGTGGTCCTATGTTCAGGTCTAATCCAGACAGCTGCTACGAACGTCTGTAGGAATTTTTCTACATGCTTAGGGGCGATATTTGGTGGCACCAAAAGTTTTCATGATTGCCTTCTTGCTTATGCTCGCAAGAAGTCAGAAAAGAAGAGAGAGACAAAGCCATTATCTTCTTATTCGCGTCTTCTGCAAGAAATATGATTAGACTTCCATTGTCGTTCTCTGTATATAATCCTTCCCGATCACCATTATGGCTACGTAAACAGAGGGCATCCTTTAGGTGGCGGATCAAACACTGAGGAAAGGAAACTTGTTTTGGTGAAGACCAAAGAAAGAAATAGAGTTACAGCAATTTTTCATATTGATTTCCTTAGGTTGATAAAAACAAAAGAAAATCCACAATTTCACTTCTCCATTACAATGATCGCTTAACATCGACGCTTCACTTCTAGTTCATGCAATCCGCAAGTGAGTCCGCGGGTCTAAATATTGAAGTGTGCCATCTGTGGCGTTTATTATTAAAAATTTTATTTTATTGACTAAGAATTTCAAAATCAATTTTTTTTTCTTAGAAAAAATCTTGCAAAAAAAGTTAAGGTTATGTCCGTCTGTCTATATGAATCGATGTCCATAACGCCACGATTACAATTTAATAAGGAGGCTGTCACGTTATAGCTGCTGATATTGGAACGTAACAAACGGGATATCGAATTAGGTGAATCAACGACTTTTGGAGATGATTAGTCAAAGTTAATTTTTGGTTATTCTAATAGCAGCATTTTTTTAATTGTTATCCATAAAACAGAATTTATCTAAAAATTTTGATTGAGAGCAAACTATAAAAATTTCCCGTCAATGTAACGTGTGATGAATGGAATACTAAAAAAGTTTATTTAGTCCCACTAACCGGATAACACTCACAAACAAGCGACATAAATTTTAAATAACGATCGTATTTTATATCGTTATAAACAAACTGTGTACATTCAAGTGCTTTGCGAGAGCCCACTCAACTATATATATATATACATATATATATATATATATATATGTATATATACGTAACACATATATTCAGGTACACTCAGGCATGTACTACCTCCCTGCTTCACGGAGACAAAATTACTCTCAATAAATTTCCGAAAAACATTCTTTTGCACCTTTAAATCAATACAGAAAGTTATTGCTAACCAAAGCTATGCGTTATGAAAAGTGAAAATGCAAACATGACAAAAACAACAACAACGATACAGGGACTATGCAGTTTTACAATAGTATGCCTGTGTAAACGCGCGCGCGCCTGTGCGTGCATGTGTGTGCTTATGTATGCATAAATTTAACGCTTTTATGCAAACACACATATGCACATGTACTTAGGTATATAAACTATGTTTTGATGGCTTCATGGTACTGACAGCAACTTTGTATGCATGCATATGTATGAGATTGTGTACGTTTACATGTGTGAACTTTGTCTACGTAGATTGTTGTGGCAGCCGGTGTGACTAAAAATTTCCTTGTTTTTTTTTCTCTTTCTCATGCTTTCACAAACGTTGAGTTAAAAAGGTGGTTGATTGTAAGTATGTAGCCGAATGGTCGGTCGTCTATATTAGAAATGGTTGCAGACAACAGCATGTTCGCACGTATATCGTGTATATATTCCTATAAATAACAAACACAACTAAATTCTCTCTCAGACATGTCGCTTACCTACATAAATTCTATGCATTCTATCGTTACACATACAAGCAAAGCCAATGGTTCAACCTTTTTTGTAGACACTTTATATGAATTTAGTCTCGAAACGAGTAATAAAGTTAATGTGCTGTCCTACGACGAACCTTGAACACTGAACATGAAATAAAAATCATACAATATCTTGTTTCTTGTTTACCTGAAAAAGCCGTGAAAGAAAGTCTTCTCAATAATAACGACGAGTATGACGATGCTCGGATTTTTTAGTTATTAAATTCTCTTCTTGTATTTTCGTATTGAAAATGTACTTAAAGCGTAACTGTTCACGTTCAGATTTCTATAACAATTTTACTGGCGTTACGACCATCGCTCACAGACAAAGTCTTTCAGGGATTGCAGCACTACTTTCCGGTGGCCTATCTTCAGCATTTGCAGCAGGAAGAGTAGATAAGCAGACATAACAAAATATGAACTGCAGGCGTGGAATGCGTAGCTGGTAAGCGCTGCCTCAAACAATAGAGACCCTCTAACAATGGAAAATTACAAAACCAACAACTAACAGCACCAAGAGTACATTTTTCTCGATGTTTCCTTTGAGTGTTCACCCCATCAAGGCTGGGTAACTAGAATGACGAAGCCAACAGACCGATGAAGATCATTTCAACGTTTTTCCATACACAAACGCACACACACACACACATATATATATATATGTATACATATACATCTAATTTTCATTACATCTCCCGGGTCTGTTTAGTAGACGAAACCAAAAAAGATTCTTTTTTTACCTCTTTTATCGGCGCCTATCTGCAGAAAAAATAAATAAGAGAGTGAAATTATTCCTCTCTTTCAACAGGCGAATGAATAGAAAGCGTCAAGTCGGGATAGGATTAAGAAGCTTAGGAAACTCATAGATAAGCATTCATGCCCTCCATATATATATATATATATATATATCTGAATGTCACAAAGCGGATGATTAAACCAATCATGGGTACATAAACATTTGTTCTATACATCTACTGCACGAGAATATATTAATTTCATCATTCTGTTTCCATATACGAAATGCCTTGTGTGTGTGCAATGTCAATATCCATTTGATCGTATCTTTTATAATATTTCAAATTCATATCTCTTTGTCTTTACATTAATTATTATTAGATATAAAGCAAAAGCAAGAGTACGTGCAAAGTAAGGAAATTTCATTGTTTTTTAATTAGATTTGCTTTCGCAATTTCAAAGCGAAGAAGACGCAACTTGAAAACTGGAAGCCGGCAGTAGAAGAAACCATGAAAGAAAAAGTGGCAATAGATTCTGTCTACCGATATTAACTGTGCGTTTTATAGAACTCCTCCCCTTTTTAATTTTCAAAGATGGCTTGTTATATATGTCCGCAAAGCAAAAGAGAAACGGATCGCATGAATATTACGGGAATTGTTATAACCTGGAGTTGCTACCACAACCCGACATAAAGCGTAATTATTTTCCCAGAGACTTGCTTACAAATGTTTCCCTTTTACGGTTAAAATAGATCGATTTTTCTTCTTGCCAAGCTTCGAATAAATCGCATATATAAATAAATTTGCATTATTTACATATAGTTTTTACTTAACGCAACCATTCGATCAACACAATTTATTCAAATTAAAATTTGAAATCACTTGAAACGCAATAGGTGTTAAAGATTCGTCTTAAAGCGCCAGCAGCGCATGTAAAATTTCTCCGATACTTTCATTAAATTCTATAGCAAGGCAATAGCAATTGATATTTTGGCGCCTTGGTTTTCGTACCAATAATTGTAACAAAATCAGTCGCGTGTAAATAGAATGTGCAATGAACGTAGGATGTTTATCGATTTTCAAGAAACTTCCCCTTTCTGATTATTGGAAATTACTATCAAAATGTGAAAAGTCTGGTCACATGTTCGTTCGCCAGACTATGTGTGAGAGGGTAGTTCTATGTATGCATGTATTTGCATTTGTATAAGATTGTATGCAAAAGAAAGAAAGAAAGAAAGAAAGAGAGAGAGAGAGAGAGAGACAGGAACGAAGAGAGAATTTATTTAATATTTGCATATGAATTTATGTACGTTAATGTGTTTATCGCTATTGTCACAATTCATCCCTTAATCGTATTTATGGTGTTCAGAAACGTTTCGATTTTCAGTAACATTCCAAATTCTCCAGCATCACTAGTCCAATTTATATGGATATATTCATTTCATTTTTTTTTTTTTTTTTTTTTTTTTTTTGCGTTTTCTACGTTTTGCTTAGATTACGCTTTAGTTGTGATATGAATTTTATTTGCACTCAATTAAAACATGAAAGACAGTACGACGATAACCTCGAGTACTAAGATAGAATTTTATTCGAAATAATATTAAATTGCAGCGCAAGAACGTGCTTGGCGCTCCAGGGATAATATGTACAAGAAATTTACTTAATTAAGACATGAAAAATAAACGAAACTTTATACGAAAAGGCAAAGTGAAATTTCATTATATTTATAAACTCGAAATTTAAAAATTTCTTTAAATCAGTAAAAAAAAAAAAAAACAAACTTTTCCCAAGTGCCTGCAATGGTAAATTGAAATCTTTCTTTCACTCAGATCTAAATTCAAAA